TAGGTGCAACAAGCATGTGGTTGAAGAAGAGATTATGTATGCACAAGGACCAGACCTGAACCAAGAGATGAAGCCCAAGCCTTATGGAGATGAAAAGCTTATCAAGGAGAACAAACTAGACCAGAAGCCAGCACAAGGAGATTTCAAACCCTTACAGCTCGAATCAACCAACCAGGAGCATGATAGAGGAGTCATCACGTGCTTGCTCCTCAAGGAAGAACCACCTGATGCATCCTTACGAGTCCCAGCAAGCAACGAGCAAACCATGACCCAAGGTAATCTTCCAAACCCTCAAAGAATTCGAAATACTAACTTGACTTATCTCCGTGCAGATCCTACAATTTTGAGGACAAAATTCAGTCAAGGGGGAGGGTATGATAAGGTCATCAGACCAGTAGCTGAATTGGAGCTCCATAAAACGTACCACACAAGCCGCATAGGAGTCGACAAAGACACATTTACCTTTTCTGGAGCATATTGAATTAACCATGAAGATTCAGAGCATGAAACCACTTGAAAAACGTTCTCAGATCAACTACAGAACGGCAAGAATTTGAATCAACCTAATCGGAATTTCGACGAAGGAGATATTCAGTTTGCAAGAGTGTTTCTGGACTTGCCCAGTTTAGACATATACAAATTAATTAGAGATTTCCAACCAAACCAAGAAGATTTAAGGTACAAACCAACTTGTTCTATATTCTTGATCCATCTGAGGCTCATGAGGAATTTGAATCAAGTCAATATTGATTTTTGGTTGGGAGATCTTAATTTTCTAAACCGAAGAATCCTACACTCGCCTTATTAGGAACCTTTCGGATTTAGGAGACTTCAAACACATGTTTAGCATCCATAAGAGTATCTACTACAACTAGAGGCTCCTAAGAACACGTCAAGATTCATTCCCAGCCATTGTATCAGGAGGATTCAGTTATATACTTACTTACCATATTTGGCGTCACAAGGACCATTTAATGCCCAACGGCTCTTCCCCTTTGATCCAGTAAAGAGCACGACTTTTAGGAGCTTCTACTTTGGCCACAGAGTTCAATGCCATGGATTTATAAAGAGAATCTCAAGATACAAGGCTGCCCACGAATTTCCTAAATTGAGATGTGTTCACACTAACACATATCCTTCCCAACGGCTACTTTTGCTTTGTGATATTTTCTCATTTGATTTTACAACATTTCCTTTCTTTCCAAGTTGTTTACTAGCCGTTAGTGGCTCTCTTTGTACGTGCTTATAAAAGCACTTCTCCTTATTCAGTTGAAAGACACCCTTGATCATAGATTAATACAAAATTTCTAGTTTTTCTTTTAAAGTAGTGTCTTTGAAGATTGTTCTTATTCTTTTGAATAAAAGTGTGTGATTCACTTCTATTCTTTAGAAACCACGAATTAAGTGTGTTTGTGAGATTCAAACATCCTTGTTTGTCCATTTGATTGAGCGAGTCAATCACTTTCCTTCCATCTCAACCATCGTTTCCACATTCCGCAAGTCTAGGCTTGGAATCTCTCGATCATCGAGTGGTCTTAGAATTGGAGTGATTCTGATCCTATATCATATCTAATCAAAAATTAGTGATACT